TAATGCCGTTAAACTTTTTTCTTCAGTGGGTAATTGCTGATGCCTGAATATTTACTTTTAGAGGAAAAATATAAACACTGCATTAAAGTTTGCAAGTTAAAATTTGTCATGGTAAAGGAAAGTTTTGTAATGCCCCAAGAAGTAGATCATTTGCAGACCTTTTTATTCCTGAATAAAACCCAATTCTTTATGCTCATCCAGCACTTGTGTGGAAGAAAGGACAGACTAGCCATAAAAAATGCAGAAGAAACTGGCTTGCTTTTTACATACAAGCTCCACCAACAAATAGCTTAGTAAATGACATTTTAATCTATGCCAACTCATCATATACTGTACTTCAAAGAGCTGTATGCAACTTTTTGACAATCAACAATTCTGACAATCTGAAGGTAAAATCACATTATTTCAAATTAAGCTGTTAAAAAATAAGCCAAGATTTTACCAGTCATGATGCCCCCACCCTGGGTTTTTTTTCTTTTCTATAAATGTATTTTCTACCTTCCCATGCAGAGGATTCAAATCCTGCAGCTATTTTCAAAGTTGTGTTATTTATCAGGAAATATTTTGAAAATATATTCAGGAAATAGTATTCATAATGAAGCATTTAATAGGACAAGCCCCCTAAGAGTTATACGGACTAAATGTATAAATAAATTATGCACAGAAAACTGGTTTAGGGAAGTATATGCATTACCTTCTTACTGTAAAATATCATTCATATTTAGGTTTATAAACATGAGAGTTGGGAACTACTGAGTTCTTTTGGCTAAGGCCCAATATTGGCCTTATTTCAGTTTAATTGGAAGAGGATCTTGAATTCATCTTCTCCATGAGATATCAGGAACCTGGATTTCTGTTTGTACCAAAGGTTAATAAGAAATGTGTCTGCAAAAGTCAAACAGCATTAAATACCAAAAACTGATTATTATTCTGCAGGAGTTGTTCTGTCATTCATAATCTCTCCATGCTCCAACCTTCCACAGCTAATCTTTAATGGATGACATGCAGGAAAGAAAAATAACATCTAAAAAGGGACTCTAAAGTGAGCTTTGAAGAAATGGAAAATACTTTTCTTCTGTGCTGAAAGTTATTGCCACCCAAAGTTTATTACTGGCAAGATTACTTATTTCCTCTCACTTTATGGATATTAAATCAAATTAACTCTAAGCTAACAGCCACTTGGATATTTGTTTTTACTTTTGCTATTAAATCTATTGCATGTGCATACTCAGTAATAATTTTTCAAGTTAATTTAGAAAACTTCAAATAATGTTCATGAATATTTCCACACCATATTCGAGAATTCCAAAATACCACAAATGTATATTCACAACATTTTCATAAAAACAGACCCGAAATAGGGACTTCATTGTAGGTATATTGCCCTAGTTTCCAAGAGACTGAAAGTTGTATGATGTATACCAACATGTTAGAAGTACTGCCTTCCTCTTTTTCCACACTGTATTTCCTATCATTACCTTGGTCTTTCAGAGAGCATCTACAGAATGCTAATACAGTTTTCAGGTGTTAAAAATGGTGTAAAACCCCTAAAAGGGCTGGACTCAACCCTGCTGAGCTGATATTGATTTAAGAAAGTATTAAATTTTGGTAATATTATTACTAAGATACTGGCATTAAAAAAACCCAACTCACGAAATAGCTGTTTCTACAGAAAGATTTAAGGATAAATATTTTTATTATATTTTTGTTCAGAATTATTCTTAGTCCCAATATATACTCTGATAGCAACAAAAATATTCCAAGAGCTCTGGGTCTCTTGCCTACTATGGTATACCTTGCTGCAGTAATGGCACTGTGAGAACAGGGCTTTGATATTTTTTCCAGTCTAGAGAAGTTATCCCTATGCTCTATAACTCTCCTTTACACTCAACCATCTCCTTCCTCTAAAAGTTCATATATATATATCCCCTGCTTAATTCTTCCATTAGGAAAAAATGAAGTCACTTAGTACATCCATCCAAAGTGAGACCTGTTCTCTCAGCTAGCTGTTTTGAAGACTTACTCCTTTGCAATGCCTCCATCTTGATTTTCCAGTCTGTCCTTGGAAGATGTATATTCCTTCCCCTTACCACTCCCACAGGTGACACCCATTCCCTTTTCTGTTCAACATATGAAAGTTCTGCACACCCAAATTTCAGATCTGGCTATTCTTCATACCGGCTTCCTTCGTGGTGTTCCCTTTTTTGCTTACATTCTTCTGGTGTCTGTTCTTTTATGATGTGCACTTCCCTGGCTTTTCCTGATGTTGCCTCCACCTCTGTTCTTCTTCACGACAGGGAGTGAAACTAACAGTACCTTCTGACATTGGGTCAGAATGACACAAAATCCAACAGAAGAATAACGAATAAACTGCAGGAACCTGTGGTAACTATGTCCATCAAAAACAATAGTCTCTAATGCCTAAAAGTCTGAAATCAAAACTTTAAATTCTCTAATTTTCTTTAGCCATAACTAGCTGAGATAGGGATCCAAGGAAGGTTTAAAATATGTTTTCAAAGCTAGCTAGCAAAATTTTAAAATAAAAACATTCTGAAAATAAGTTATTTACTTCACACAGTATAATACTTTTCTTCCATCATATATATCTTCTGCTTTAATTCTACTTTTTCTTCTTTTCTCATGAAGCATTTCATAAATTTACCCTTTTTTTCTTTACTTTTTACTTTGAACAATTTAAAAATCACAAAATGTCAATCTTTGGATTTTTTGTTTCTGTAGACCATTGTAGCTTCATTTCAAAATGCCCTTTGTCTTCACTTTTCAATTCTTTCCATGAGGCTTGTTTAGGTAAAACCTATCAATTACAGGGTTACCTTTTAAAACAGAATTCTAATATTCCTCAAAGTAGATAACACTTTTATGGTGTACCTTTCTTATGTTCTTTACAATACAGTTTTGTGGAGTCACTTACTTATCATAAAGTCAGTACTAAGTAATAATAAAAATGCAAACACCCATATTTACAAGCTTCACTATACCATGTGTTACACACTGCAGTAATTAAACATTAACTAGTAACCTGAAATCGCAGCAGCATGTGTTCTCCCCTCCTCAAAGAAGTTAATGCAGGGGGATAAGTTTTTCCTTGAACACACCGTCTGTTCTTTATTAGGTTCTGCTTGTCCATTAGAACTCTCCCCAAGGTTTTTATGAGAGAGACACACAGAGGCTTCCACAAATCCAGTTGGGTTCACATAATTCCAGATTTTAAACCATTTATCCAAATTTGGTAACATTCTTAGAACTGCAAGACAGGAAGCAAAAAAACTGTGAAGTATTAACGATGCTTCCTTTTGGCAAACAGTTTAAGTAGTAAGGAGCCTCTTGCCCTCTCCCTTCAGCATTTAAAGGATTTTATACTTCCTGTACTCATAAAAGGAGAAAAAAAGGTTATTTTTTAAAGGTCATTGTTATTACACTATGTAGCCGTCTTTAAAATTTGGTTTATTCTTCCTTTAAAAACAGAATAAGCATGTTAAATTATTATTTCCATATTCATGCCACTCTGTTTTGAAGAGAAAAATATGTTTAGGACATCAATAGAAAGTTTAAGCAGTAATGTAGGAAAACAACAATTTCCTAACAAGTATTTCAACCATATCCATAAAAACAAAACTATCCGTGTTTTTGACACACCTTTCTTTCCAGGTTTTAACGAGCAATGAACACCTCTACCAAAGAGAATCACGTACAGAGGTAAGAACAGTGGGCAAATATCCAGGAACAAACAGAAAACTTCATATCAAGCCAAACAATCTGCATTAGCTTTCGGCTAGTGGATATAACAATGACACAGAGTGCAGATTTTTCTTTCGTCTGAAAATAAAGCAAGCAGTTACGTGAAATTAAATAAGAATAAAAATTATGCCTGTATTTAATTTTTTTTCTAAGATGCTGATTAGATTTGACTTTCCCTTCCCCCACCACAGAAAATCTAGGAACTCACTTTTCCATCTATAATATTCACACTACACCATATTCTCAGGAGTTTGTTATTAAGTGGAATGTCAGCCATCTGTTTTTCAGCTAGAGAGTTTATTATCTGCTCCATTTTCCTGAAGACAGTTACTCCTCCCTTTAGTACAAATATTTTGGGGACAGCTATTAGTACTATTAATACTCTATGAAGTGCGTGTGATCTATGAGGAAACAATTTTACCAAGCTAACACTTTCTTTCTGAACAAATGATATAATGAATTTATAAAAGCACTCCCATTAATGTTTTTTAAACATCTTCATGAAAACCTGAGAGTATTTTTCATCTACTGGGTATACTTTATACACAGTCACTTTTCAATAATAAGAATGCCCAGCTTCATTACATTAGCAGTTTCCACAAGCACAGAATACAAACTGTCTCCATGCTTGCATGTCTATCCAAAGAAAATTAACAACAAATATAAGCACATGTTCACTTTCAGATATACACTTAAAAACATTTCCTTCTGAGAATTCATATAAACTTCATTCACTGGATATATGCCATCATCTGACAAAAATTCATTTTAACTACCAAAAGAGCAGATTTTTCAAGAACAGCACAGGTCCCTGGTTGAGGTGACTGTGAGACTATCTCCAAACACGGAGAGGGGGTAGTATTGCTCTGAACCAGCTAAAACAATAAGTGGTATTTGAACTGCTGGTTGAAAGGTAGAGGCACTGGTAATCATTATTTCCCCTTGTTTGTTCAGGACCTTCCAACAAAACAAACAACCTTTTTGTGATTGGATTGACATGGTGTTAACAATGCATTTAATGCCCAAATCAGTATGAATACAGGTAAAGCTCCTACTAATACCAGTACCAGGATGTTAAAGCCATCTATTTTCTAAGCAACTCTAAACAGCCACACATAAAAAAAAAGTCAAATCTTCCCTCCTTTAGCAAATAAAGCTAACATTCACTAGGCCACGTCATATAGCAACCACGGGTACTGTATGAGCCATACAGCCATCTGTTAAACGCTCGCCTACTGTACCTGCAATCCTTTCTGCAATCTTAGCTTCTGTAGCTCTATCTTGCAATTCTAAGTCCAGTTTCATTGTCTTCAGCTCCTTGTCCTTTTCAGCCAGCTTATCTTGAAGCTGAATTGAGCAAATGGACAGTAAGATTCTTATCTGGCTGAAACTGTCAACAAGTAATTCAACCACAATAAAATTGCAAACAACGATTTCTCACCCTCAAAATACAAACACTAAGCATTAAACCAGAAGTTCAATTTATTATATTTATTTGTTTAAAGAAGAAATGTTAAGAATATTTTTTTTAACATCTGGGCTATCTTGCTCTGTGAGACAAGTACACATGCCATTGTTTTTATTTGGGATTCTCTTCCTCAGGTATCACCAGCTGTAGTCCTTCTTGCTAAGGAAGTTCAGAATTGCATGGAATATAATGTAGGTGGTTGCACTAATAGCCTGTTTCTTACCAAGTTACAGACAACACAGTCTGAAAAGACTGGTGTAAATGCATATTTTTTCATGTTCTCCATCAGATGGAAGACTGGTATTCTTTCACATATCAAGGCCTTTGTTTAAAAGGTATTCACTAAATCTGTTCTTGGACAGATATCTGAGCTTGAATATTCAATGACACTTTTTGGAAAGACTAGAGACTCTCAGATTGTTTAGGCACATGCAACCACAGCTAACACTAGAAGCAATGCAGTATTCAAGGAAGATGGAATTTTCTCCTCTTCAATAAAGCTGAGTTATCAGGGAACATTAATTGGATTCTACCCATGACATCCTGGTCTAGTCTTTGGTCTTCATTGGTTTTCATCAAGGGTGCAAGAATCTATTGATCAAAAAAGTCAGAGAGCAGGTTGGAGGGTTTAATTCCACAGAAATTGTTGTTAAGCAAACACTAAAAATCCAAAATTACGGGAAGCTAGTGATTGGTGCACTAAAATAAATAACAAAACTAAATCAGGCACAGTTTAAAATGTATGTTTTGCAAGGCAATTATAAAAAAGCAAATATTGGTATCTTGAATATCGCAATTGTACCTTTTTATTTTTGGCCCTCAGAGTGTCCAATTCTTTTAAAAGGAATGCAGTTTCTGTTCTTCCACCGAAATCTTCAGCATCATTCCATGAGGATATAAATTCAGGGAGCATCCTGTTATCTTTTCTTGCTACACTACTGCAAAAGAAATGAAAAAAAATTTAAAAACCTGTTGTTATTCCACCCCTCTGAAACAAAATGCACAGAAATAAATTATCAAAAACTTGTTAACCACTGCAAATGTATTAAATAGTAAAAAAAAATGGATGCCCTTCTACCACTTCTTAAAGCTGTAGTTCTGAAAAGAATCTGCAAATCTGGAATAGTAAATAAATACCCTACAGTACTAAGGCAAAAACCAGATGAATACAAATGGGCTATGAAGCCTATAAACAGAAAATGCTGAAGGAAAGCAAATACTAAAAGCCATTGCTTAACACAGAGAAAAAAGTAATAAAACATTTGGGGGGGGATCAAAGTGATGCTCAGGTCTAAGCAAACCAAATTTTTTTGTGGGATGATTCCACAGGAAGTGATATGAAAATATCCATAAAAAAATCTAGGAATCTGTAGAAATGATGGTATGAAATCGGTAAAATGATGGTATGATTCTAAATATTATACCTGACAACAGGAATTCCATACTGTATGCCACCTGGAGTTTTAAAATAACTTACTAGCCATAGACAACTTAAAATAAGACAAGATTCAATGGCCAGAAAAATTCACTCAAAGTAAGACTCTCACAAAACATCTTGGGTCTCCATTGATACTCACAGATCACTCAGATCTCCTTTGTAACATGGCAGCAAAATTAGTAAATGAATGATTAGAAAGGAAACTGGCAAATATTTTTAACATTTGCTTTCTTTAAGCATTTTCTGGCTATACACTTCATAGCTAATAACTGATAAGAAGTAGCCAGAGAAAAGCTATACCTTCTGAACTCCTGCTGCCACTGTAGACATTACTTTATGTGTAATTCACATCCTAAAAAGATAAAGAAAGCTATCTATTGCTCCAAGAAGTCATTATCTTACACAGACAGTTGTCTGTACTCAGCCACCCTTTCTTCACCTGCTTCCACTGTATTTCACCTGCTTCCACTGTATTTATTTTCTCTTCCCTTCTCCTTAAAACTAAAAATGACAAATCACATTGACAGTACCAGGACCACCATCTAAAACACAAATCAACACTGACTTAACATTTCCTGGGTTTTTCCATATCAAGAAATGTTAACATATATTCTAATTAAAATCTATTTGGGCCAAGGTAGGTTTTGGCACATAGCTTTAGGATCCTACATATAAAATACTTGGAGCTGAGATGGTTCAACATGATCGCTGCTGTGGGAGGTTAATCTTAGTGTTCCAGACAAGCCTGATTGTCAGTGGGAGTGGTGCTGTTGAAAGGTAAAATGAACAATTTTTGGGTGACTCTGTGCTGGGCTGTACTTAAGCACTTTGGGTTATACTTGGCATTTAGTGCAGGATGCATTGCCCTTACAGCAAATCTCAGCTGCTAATGCAAAAAGGCAAAAAGGAAAATGAAAAAGTGTTAAGAATTGGGTTTGGCCCAAACACTCACCATTAGATCATAATGAATTTAGCAAAACCGGGTGTAGAATCTGCTAGACAGGTGAGGAATCAGTGTATTTTTCAAAAGTATGTAATAGGGCTTTGCAGCCTTGACCCCATTTTCAAAAACAACTCTGACACTCTCAGTTGAAAATTGGTATTCAGACTGCCTAAGACACTCAAAACTGGTAGCTTGTTCCCTAACCAGCTGTCTAGTCAAAGGTATAACTAGCTACTTATACCTTTGTACATTGTGTCAGATACAGAATGAGTGTATATATTTCTTAAGACTGCTATAGAGGGCCATTGCTCAGTAAAAACACTAGTGACAAGAAATTACCAAAATTAGTGACACAATAAAATCTTCAGAGTCTGTTTTAAACTGTTCAATCATATTAGCCAGTCCTCAGATTCCTGTCACAGACTGCTACAAGGTATTACAGCTTCTCATCTTCACTCTTCCAGCTTCATGTGGACTTCACCCTGCTTTATTCCTGTTTCCTACTCCCTCATCACATTTCATGCGCTTGTTGTGTAAAGCCACAGATACTACTAGGTTTTCAAGATCCGGTTTTATTCTGTTCAGCATGCATTTTCAAAATTCTCTGTAGAGATCACAATCATTGAGGTACCCACAATGTGTGATATAAATCATTGCAAAGATCATATTTTCTGTGAGTGCTTAGAGAATACAGAGGTGAAATGCTACATTCCACAAGGGAAGAAGGGCAGAAAAGGTGAGTCTAAGTAAAAAGCTGACTTACTGATTGCATGTGGGAAGCAAATTTCCCTATATTTACTCAAAAAACCATGCGCATATTGTCAATAATTTGAATCTTAAAAAACTATATAGAGGGATATTTCTTGGGTTTACCTTGATTCTTCTGAACCAGAATTACAGTCAGTTAGGAATCCTCCACTTTGACTGGTTACTTGCAAATCTGAAAGTTTCGGTGCTACGGTTTCTGCCTGGATAGAAAATTCTGTGTGTTTTTGAGAATTCTTATAAAACTGAAGTTCAGCACAGAAGTCTTCTTTTTTCTGATCCGAGATGTGTGTTTCTAATTGGGAAGAGAAGAAAATACATTTTCTCATTTGGAGAATGAAGTACAAACTTGCGATTTTTCATTTGAAAATGGCTTGTTACAAGATTATAATACAGTAGTAGAAAGGAACAAGTGATTTAATTCCAGATTCACAACTTCTTTGTCCCTTCATTAAGGAATGAGAGCTGTTACCTACAGCATGGATGGATGTAGGTAGGAATTACAACCCATTTACTGGATTTTTCTCAAGGAAACATGAAAAATTCATAATCATTTCCTAATCCCTCCTCCTCCTTAAAAGACTTCTTAAAATAATGCTGACTGTAGAAAATTATTTACCTATCTCTTTTACAAAATTCAGCTCTACTATAGTGAGATATGATGAATTTCTGCAATAGAGAGGGAAATTTTTAGGTTATAACTAGACTCTTACTTATAGTGAGGTTTCTTTCAAATCCATTTTGGCTACAAAAGGAGTATCATCAAACTGTAATTAGTAACAACAAATTGAAAGCACCATTATTCATTCCTGGAGAGTGTGAGGTACAGGCTCATACAACTAAAGAACTTGAAGAATGCAAAGCAGAAATTGTGCCAAAGGGAAAAATTATCTGATTAAAATGTTGAGTGTGATAGCTAGTTCTCTTAGCTTGGCTACTAGATATTTTTAGGACATATTTCTGATATCAAGGCATTTAAATGAAAGAAAGATCCACATACCACGAATGCTCTTTCATAAAGTAAGAACAAGTACCTTTTAATTATAGAATTATATTAAAAAATGAGAAGGAAGCAGCCTAAAACCACTGGAAATGGAAAAAATGTGCATATATTTTTCATTCTTTCATTTAGATTAGTAGAGAACAAACACTGGAGCTTTTGCTTATTTAATAAAGTTAGTGTTTCCAAACGTTTTGGATAAAATATAGGGCATATATTATTTGATCCACCTTATAACATCCTCCTCAAAAATAATAAGAAACTGTCTATACAGTTGAAATCAAGTAGAAAAAGACCAAAAATACAAATCAATCACTATCAAGTTGCCCTCCTGCAGGTATACACAGTTATAAGCACAGTTTCCAAGTAAAAAAATACTGAAAACTATTTCTCAAGTGTATTGCAACAGATTCCTCTTTCCTTAAACGAGGAAAGACACAGCCAAGAGCTCAGGAAACAGCCCAAGGGCACAAAGAGATGACTTGGGAATTGGCTGGAGTCAGTTTAACAGCTTCCAATATGAAGATATGAGTTACCACCTCCAGGAAAAAAGTTATGGGACCCACTGCTCATCTGTATTCTCTGCATCCACTTCAGCACAAACTTATTTGAATCCACTCTAACCATTGCTGTAAACTGTAACCACTGATCTTTACCCTAGAAAAACAACAATTAACAGAGTATCAGCATCTTTGTTTCTTAGCATGCGGGGACTATTACCATAAAATATTTTTTTATAAGTCCAATACTGCTTTCAGTACTGTGATTGAAATATGTTCCTCATATCATTTCACAGCTAGTGCAGAAAGAACACAAGGCCACAGCCACCTGGATTCTTCAAACAACTGTACACTAGTTTGAAATCCAGCAGGTTTTTGAGCAGATTTCCTCTGAAGTGCTGCTACATCTAAAAACTGGATTTGATCTCTTACTCCTCCTTATAGTAAGGAGCAAGGATCTCTAAAGAAACATATGTAAAAAAAAAAAAAAAAATCACCAAATACACTAAGAACCTGACTCAATTTGGGAGTGACAATATATAAGAGCAAAATTTTACATCCTTTCCAGTAAGTACTATCTGAAAACTAACCTAGTCTGAGTTTCCATACTTGTAAAGCATTTCATAGGGAGTTGTGTTTTCCATTTGATTTATATTCTAAGAACCTGACTCAATTTGGGAGTGACAATATATAAGAGCAAAATTTTACATCCTTTCCAGTAAGTACTATCTGAAAACTAACCTAGTCTGAGTTTCCATACTTGTAAAGCATTTCATAGGGAGTTGTGTTTTCCATTTGATTTATATTATAAAGAACTTCCTCTGAAATATCCTGTTCACTTCTCCTGTTTCAGATGCAGTGTCTGTATAAATGCAGTTGCAAATTATGCTGCAGGGGAGGTGCAATGCTTCACTTGCCATGAAAACTTTTCCTTCTCTCTAGGGCTTATTCTATAAGCTATATATATATATATATATATATATATATATATATACGAAGTGCCTCAAGTGAAGTGTGTCGTATCATGTGGAAGAATTCAAGCACAATGTATATCTGTTGAAATAACCAGGGACAGTATTGCCAGGAACCTTTTTTCCTTGTTTAGCACCATGGTACTCTGGCCTTATGAAAGTTGGAGAAAAAAAATCTCACTTCAGAAAGCTAAGAAGTTTAGATGATGCTTTAGGCTGCTTCTCTTCCCTTAGCATGAGAGCAAGTTTTTATTCTTTTCACAGTTCCTGTTTTGTTAATTTGCTCTTTTCATTCCAGGACTTAAGAGGAGACCACAGAAGAGTCACTGAAGTTGGTAGAGACCACTGGAGATCACCTTGCTGGCACCTCAATCCTTTGTAACAGGAAGCTGTCCCCAGCACCTTCCAGATCACCTGAGCCCTCTGTTGTCCTTCCAGCAGATCATTAACATCACTGTAGTACCCCACAAGAACCTGGACCTCTGAACATGAGAGATCTTCCAATTCTCTGAAGAAGGCCTCATCTACTTCACTCAACCCTCCTCCATGCCCCTCCCTCTTAGGAGAAGGATCAAGTCCACCTGGATTTCCACACCCTTGAGCGTCATGCCTGAAGCCATACAGTCACATGCAACACCTCCCAGGCCACCCCAACAGTATCACTAATGCCTACATGGAAGAGCAGCAGGGAGTAAGAGGGTCAGACGAGAATCAGCAGGCTTTCTATAACATTCTGAATATGAGATGTAAACAAGAAGCAAAGGTCTTTAGAAGACAGTTTCATTCAGCAGGCAGATTTTTATTTTTAAAACCAGAAGTGAACATGACTGCATGATGAGGTAAATATCTGCCTTAGCAGTTGCACTTCTGCTAAATCCTTGGGCCATGTAAAGATATGTGTTTTTTAACTGTAAATTACTGCAGCTAAAGAAAAAAGAGAATTTAGAATAGTACTAGAACTGTGTAGAACTGTGTTGGCATTTATTAATGCTAATGCTGCTTCTTTAGACAACATACATTGGCAGGACACATCTTCATCCAGATTCAATTCCCTCAAGCACATGGGTAAGACTAAGTAGCATCACAGGAAGGCTGTAAGCGGCATTCTTGGAAATACTAGGTGAAACACAGAGGATCTGTTTTTTCTCCACTGGCTTTGTAAGAGAGAAGATGACGGCAGCCTCTTCCACCCAAAACTGAAAGCACTCTGCCCAAATGCATTAAGGTGAAAGGTTTTTTCTCATTTAATAAAGCTGCTATTTCTTTTTTAATCAACATGCAAAATTTGTCAGTAGAACGCTTTGGGGAAGACATTTTGAACACTATTAGATCAATGGACATAGGATTAATTTTCTTTTTAAGACCACTTTATTCTTCATATAGCCCATGACCCCCACTTCAAATAATTTAGGCTTTGGTACATGGTAGCTTGTCTTGTTGCTAAACTAAGTGGCAATTTTAATCAATGCACTTCAGTGCTTTTTTCCTCATGCCTCCTGCAAATCGTATTGTGCACTAATTACCAATGCTGCAGACACACACTGGGGAGTAAGTAGCATTTGCAATAATCAGGCTGCACAGGGAACATCAGAGAAAGGGTAAAACAGCCTTGCAAGCTTTGGAAAAAATTATGTAGATTTCATTAAGTGGTACCACCACTGCTGATTCTGTTTCTTGAGTATACTAAACAAAATTTTTTCCATATAAAATGGTACAAGTTCAGCAGCCCAGATTAATATTTCACTATAGGGAGAAGCTGAACAGCTGATCTTCTGTATGTATTTATCTTGAATGAATAGCTTGTTCACATTGCGGGAAAGAAAAGCAAATGTTAAGAAGAAGGAATATGAAGACACTAGAATTAAATCTGGGAATTGATTGTGAGGGACGTAAGGGGAAGATAATGCTGTCATGGCTTGAAACAGTAAAGGCAGAACAGAATCCAATGTTGTCAAGCTGGGAGTGGTTAAAAAGTCAAGTAAAAACATTAAACACATCATACTGTGCAGGCACCCACTATTCCTCACAGCTTCTTCTGAGAAGCGGGGGATAAGCACAGAGATCAGGGAAAGCACAGCATTACAGAATCCCACACACCAACAGTGATAAATGCACAGAAGGTGCAGTTTCAATGGAAGACTAAAGAGGCAATAGCGTCCCTTGTTATACCACTCAGCACATTCAGCAGTCCCATCATCCAGCAGAAGCTGGGTGGACACCCCCGTCCCCCTGTCTATAGTCTTTCAGCATCCTACTAAAATGCACTGATCACCTCAGAGGTTTGCAGGGAATCTCCACAGAATAAGAGTAAGAGAAAACAAACAATACCCAATGGAACATGCACACAGGTTACAGATCTGGTTGCAGATAAGTATGGGGACACTAGAACCTCCAGGTGCACCAAATCAGCTTTAAGTGTAATAGTACTTACAGCTTGCTACTGACAGCTTATTAATATTTGTTTTAAGCTGGTCTGTGGCACATACATAGTATGTTCTCATCTGTCTGCAAAAGACTGCATGAGTGAATGACTCCCTAGCAGGATGGCAGTAAGAGGCATAATAGGGAAAAGCAAAAGTAGAAAGGAAGAGAATGAGCCATATACACCCTGGGAGCAGGAGCAAAGACAACTGCAAATGCAGTAGCTACAACACAACACTGTCAGATTAAATAAATTTGAAAAAATGTAGAACAAAACATTGTGCTGTATTTGAGGAAGTCAACCTGAATTAATGCAAGCCTCCAGAATTCCTCCTGTTAATGATAGAATCATAGAATGTTTTGGGTTGGAAGAGACCCTAAAGATCATCTAGTTGCAACTTCC